TTTTTGTTGTCAGCACCTCAAAACTTTCCGAAACCCTCTTATGCAAAGCTAAAAGGCAACAATAATCATGTGTACAATCGAGCCAGCTACAGTACTCAAACTTTGTGCTTGAACCATCTGAAATGCAGTTCGATCAGCAGGGTTAAATTATCTCTTGGTGGAAAGTTATTGCTTTTATTGAAACAATAATATGTTCAAACAGATTGGAATGAAACTGATATTTACCAAAATATGTTAAATAACTGGGCTTTCAGTTGATCCATGATATTTAGTGATTTCGGAGGCCAAATAACTTTAACCTGAAATTTGGAGGGTAAAATAGACGTGTCTTTTCATATCCAAGAGTCAAAGCTTCTTATAGGGAGTCAAAAAACATAATCTCAATTAGGGTACACTGAAAGGCCTGAATAAAGCCGAACTACAGATGTTCATGTATACAGGTTATTTTCCTATTATAATGTTGACAATGTTACGGAAATTAATTAATGTACATGCACGTGATGATCTTTCGATACCTGAGCTCAATGAAGAGATCTTATCATGGAACCTCTGAAGTGTGTACTATACAAAAATTATTTTCCGAGTATTAAATCTAAATTTTGTCTCCTCTTTTTACCAAAACAAAAATCCCCCAAAAGTATTTAAGGTTGATTTCACAGTTTGAAAATATAAATTGTTATGGCTGTAAATAACAGCTCAATACAAATTAAGACAATACATGGTGTTTGTGACATCACTTGTATTACTAAATTTTAACATTTTGTAATTGAATTTTAACATTCTCAAACGAAAAAAAAATAATTACAAATTGTTCTTAGTATCATAGGATATTGGTATTTCCAATTTCGTATCAGTAAAAATACAATCAATCACAAAATATCCATTTATAATGATTAATACTATTGTATGTGGATGGAATCCCGGATGAACACCAACAGTGACTGTTAATGATAGCTTAACCGGGTCACTAACAGTAGACATTAATGTTGGTGTTTCTCACACCTGTTATATTTTCATACTGAAATAATATTAAAATATGACAATATCGCACTAATTAAGCCGGCTGCTCAGCTCAACATAGCTGACTAGTGACATACGGTGCAAAGAGAGATCTCATGTTCTTGGTAAACTGGTTTCCCCCTAAATGGAGGAAGCTCTCCAAGTTATGATACAAACAAGAGTATAAGTTAATGAAAACGATATTTACAGACAGATGTTTTCTATTGCTAACTTGTGTAGGAGTCATACTACATCTTTAGTTTGTAAAGCCACCACCCACATATAAAGGTGCCAAAGTAATTCTTGGAAGTTTTACTCAAAAGTGCGCTAAATTTCAAAATATTGTTTTTGTATTTGGTGATCAATGTAAGACCAAATTAGGCCTAATTCAATTACATTAAGATGGTGAGTTTCTGGTAAGTTCTTGCAATGATGAAAAAGTGTGTTTTTTCTGATTTTTCCTCCAGTTTCACAATTACAAATCTGGCTCTTGTCTTGTTGTAATAATGATATTAATTTGAGGTTCTGAATGAATGAATAATATACCGCTTTATCACAAAATAGTTTGTAGGTTGTCTCAAAGTGGTTCACAAATTATTATCAGTGGTTATAGGGCCTTTGGAAACAGCCAATATCTTGCTCAACTCCCTGCAGCTGGGGAGCATACAGCCCGTGCTGCAATATTGTGTTGTAGCTAGCATTCAACTATTTCTAGCACTGCCCAACCATGCACTCATTTACAGCTGAGTAGAATGGAACAAGTGGAGTAAAGTATCATGTTCAAAAGATACAACACAGTGCTGTGACACGACTCTAACCTGCAACCTTTCGGTTACGAGCCAGGCGTACTACCACTAGGCTACTGTGCCTTGTGTCAAATAATTGGCAAATAATCAAATATATGGCATTGTATACATTCAGAAGACTTTTAGGTCATGATACGTCATCAATTTGTAACATACATGTATTACATGTAATAGAAGTCGCATACAATGTGATACATGATAAGTCACTAGAATAACTCTAAGTGTTTTCTATTTACAGGAGTACCAGTTTGATCAGAGTTTCACTGATCATACACACACCGGATGTATAAAGACTTTATCTGTGTCGAAGAAAGGGATCCTAGCGTCGGGTGGCACAGACGAGACCGTTCGTTTGATTAACCTGAAGAAGAGGACAGAGCTTGGCTCTCTAGTCCAACATTCAGGTCCAATATAGTATGATAATTTGTTCTCCTGTTAGTTACATTCTTTACTGTGTACATAGTATATTGTACCATATCTGGGCATATGTTGAATATAAAATGCCTAGAATATGATAGACTAAATTTGGTAGTGGTACTTAATTCATATTTTCAACAATTCTATATGGTTAGTCTAAAGAAATCAACTGCCATTTTTATCAGGGATGTGAAATGCCTCTACCCTAATGCCAGATACTAGCACATTTTATGTAAAGTCTAGTGAAACATCTCTATATTGACTGAAATTATAGATAAGTGCAAAAGAGGTTTTAGTTTAGCCCAGAGACAATAGCCATGGATCTAAAATCCTCTCAGAGTTTTTCTTGTAATCGCATCAGTGATACAAAGTGCTTTTATGGGAGAATATTGTGATGCCAGATTGCAAGTTTGATACATTTGTTGTTATATTTCCTTGAAAATGTACTCCAAAGTTAATTAGTTCTCTTTCAAATGTACATGCAGGCTAGTACACTAATAATAAAATTGTACACCCATTTTGCTTGTGGGGTATAAGCCCTGCTTCCATACCTAGATGTCCCTTTGTTGAATTTTGATACCATACTTTGTCTGAAGACAGGAAATTTCAAATGTTTACAATACTTTGCCTTGTTGATATTGTTCTGAGCTGAAATTGTTGACAAAGAATTTCAATTTCTACTGCACTGTCTTTCCATGCCTCTCATTTCCATGGGTTGTCATGTTGTTTTTGTGCAAATATAAAATCTTGGCCTTGGAGAATCACTTTCTACATAAAGTGTTTTGATCTGCAACCTTGAGACAAATTCTATTATTTATACACAAGATTGTGGGAGAATATTGCGATGCCCTATTGCAAGTTTGATACAATTGTAATGTTGCTGTTTTTCTTGAAAATGTACTCAAAGATAATTAATACTCTTGTTTCAAATATGCTTGCAGGCTTGTACGTACATACACTAATTATAAAATTGTACACCCATATTGCGTATTGGTATTAGTCCTGCTTCCATACCTCCGTATATGGTACTATTGAATAGCATTCCATCAATCAGTGTGTCCATGTGTCACTTCTTCGGAGCCATCTGTTTTGCTAAATTTTGTATTCAAATACATGAATGGCAGAGTGGAACTGAAACTGTTTCTTGCCCCTGTATAAACAGAGTTATAGCCCTTTGTTCACAAATCATCACTTTGTCCAAGATATATCTAGATCTCATATCAATCTTTTTAAAATAATATCTCTCCATTGCACCCGTTTACATATATCGGGGAATGTAAGCAATGCGTACATCTAGGTTCAGTTAGATTTATCTCATTAACCTGGTCATATACATACACATACAGGGTCAGTCATTTACCTGGTCATATACATACACATACGGGGTCAGCTATAGTTACCTACCTTTATATAGAGTGTCGCATGCTAGAATAGGCTCTATAGACAGGAACTTTCAAATGTTTACAATACTGTGCTTTGTTGATATTGTTCTGAGCTGAAATTGTTGACAAAGAATTTCAATTTCTACTGCACTGTCTTTCCATGCCTCTCGTTTCCATGGGTTGTCATGTTGTTTTTGTGCAAATATAAAATCTTGGCCTTGGAGAATCACTTTCTACATAAAGTGTTTTGATCTGCAACCTCGAGACAAATTCTATTTATACACAAGATTGTGGGAGAATATTGCGATGCCCTATTGCAAGTTTGATACAATTTTTAGTCTTTTTTTCTTGAAAATGTACTAAAAGATAATTAGTTCTCTTTGTTTCAAATGTGCTTGCAGGCTAGTACGTACATACACTAATTATAAAATTGTATATCCCTTTAGCTTACGGGTATTAGTCCTGCTTCCATACCTCCATAGAGTACTATTGAATAGCATTCCATCAGTCAGTCAGTCCATGTGTCACTTCTTTGGAGCCATCTGTTTTGCTAAATTTTGTATTCAAATACATGAATGGCAGAGTGGAACTGAAACTGTTTCTTGCCCCTGTATAAACAGAGTTATAGCCCTTTGTTCACAAATCATCACTTTGTCCAAGATATATCTAGATCTCATATCAATCTCTTTAAAATGATATCTCTGCATTGCACCCGTTTACTGTTACATATATCGGGGAATGTAAGCAATGCGTACATCTAGGTTCAGTTAGATTTATCTCATTAACCTGGTCATATACATACACATACAGGGTCAGTCATTTACCTGGTCATATACATACACATACGGGGTCAGCTATAGTTACCTACCTTTATATAGAGTGTCGCATGCTAGAATAGGCTCTATAGACAGGAACTTTCAAATGTTTACAATACTTTGCCTTGTTGATATTGTTCTGAGCTGAAATTGTTGACAAAGAATTTCAATTTCTACTGCACTGTCTTTCCATGCCTCTCGTTTCCATGGGTTGTCATGTTGTTTTTGTGCTAATATAAAATCTTGGCCTTGGAGAATCACTTTCTACATAAAGTGTTTTGATCTGCAACCTTGAGACAAACTCTATTATTTATACACAAGATTGTGGGAGAATATTATGATGCCCTTATTGCAAGTTAGATACAATTGTTTTTTTCTTTTTTTTTCTCTTGAAAATGTACTCAAAGATAATTAGTTCTCTTGTTTCAAATGTGCTTGCAGGCTAGTACGTACATACACTAATTATAAAATTGTACACCCATTTTGCTTATTGGTATTAGTCCTGCTTCCATACCTCCGTATATGGTACTATTGAATAGCATTCCATCAATCAGTGTGTCCATGTGTCACTTCTTCGGAGCCATCTGTTTTGCTAAATTTTGTATTCGAATACATGAATGGCAGAGTGGAACTGAAACTGTTTCTTGCCCCTGTATAAACAGAGTTATAGCCCTTTGTTCACAAATCATCACTTTGTCCAAGATATATCTAGATCTCATATCAATCTTTTTAAAATGATATCTCTGCATTGCACCCGTTTACTGTTACATATGGGGGAATGCAAGCAATGTTGGATCTAGGTTCAGTTAGATTTATCTCATTTACCTGGTCATATACATACACATACGGGGTCAGCTATAGTTACCTACCTTTATATAGAGTGTCGCATGCTAGAATAGGCTCTATAGACAGGAACTTTCAAATGTTTACAATGCTCTGCTTTGTTGATATTGTTCTGAGCTGAAATTGTTGACAAAGAATTTCAATTTCTACTGCACTGTCTTTCCATGCCTCCCGTTTCCGTGGGTTGTCATGTTGTTTTTGTGCAAATATGAAATCTTGGCCTAGGAGAATCACTTTCTACATAAAGTGTTTTGATCTGCAACCTCGAGACAAATTCTATTATTTATACACAAGATTGTGGGAGAATATTGCGATGCCCTATTGCAAGTTTGATACAATTTTTAGTCTTTTTTTCTTGAAAATGTACTAAAAGATAATTAGTTCTCTTTGTTTCAAATGTGCTTGCAGGCTAGTACGTACATACACTAATTATAAAATTGTATATCCCTTTAGCTTACGGGTATTAGTCCTGCTTCCATACCTCCATAGAGTACTATTGAATAGCATTCCATCAGTCAGTCAGTCCATGTGTCACTTCTTTGGAGCCATCTGTTTTGCTAAATTTTGTATTCAAATACATGAATGGCAGAGTGGAACTGAAACTGTTTCTTGCCCCTGTATAAACAGAGTTATAGGCCTTTGTTCACAAATCATCACTTTTTCCAAGATATATCTAGATCTCATATCAATCTCTTTAAAATGATATCTCTGCATTGCACCCGTTTACTGTTACATATATCGGGGAATGTAAGCAATGCGTACATCTAGGTTCAGTTAGATTTATCTCATTAACCTGGTCATATACATACACATACAGGGTCAGTCATTTACCTGGTCATATACATACACATACGGGGTCAGCTATAGTTACCTACCTTTATATAGAGTGTCGCATGCTAGAATAGGCTCTATAGACAGGAACTTTCAAATGTTTACAATACTTTGCCTTGTTGATATTGTTCTGAGCTGAAATTGTTGACAAAGAATTTCAATTTCTACTGCACCGTCTTTCCATGCCTCTCGTTTCCATGGGTTGTCATGTTGTTTTTGTGCTAATATAAAATCTTGGCCTTGGAGAATCACTTTCTACATAAAGTGTGTGGATCTGCAACCTTGAGACAAACTCTATTATTTATACACAAGATTGTGGGAGAATATTATGATGCCCTTATTGCAAGTTAGATACAATTGTTTTTTTCTTTTTTTTTCTCTTGAAAATGTACTCAAAGATAATTAGTTCTCTTGTTTCAAATGTGCTTGCAGGCTAGTACGTACATACACTAATTATAAAATTGTACACCCATTTTGCTTATTGGTATTAGTCCTGCTTCCATACCTCCGTATATGGTACTATTGAATAGCATTCCATCAATCAGTGTGTCCATGTGTCACTTCTTCGGAGCCATCTGTTTTGCTAAATTTTGTATTCAAATACATGAATGGCAGAGTGGAACTGAAACTGTTTCTTGCCCCCGTATAAACAGAGTTATAGCCCTTTGTTCACAAATCATCACTTTGTCCAAGATATATCTAGATCTCATATCAATCTTTTTAAAATGATATCTCTGCATTGCACCCGTTTACTGTTACCTATCGGGGAATGCAAGCAATGTGTACATCTAGGTTCAGTTAGATTTATCTCATTAACCTGGTCATATACATACACATACAGGGTCAGTCATTTACCTGGTCATATACATACACATACGGGGTCAGCTATAGTTACCTACCTTTGTATAGAGTGTCGCATGCTAGAATAGGCTCTATAGACAGGAACTTTCAAATGTTTACAATACTGTGCTTTGTTGATATTGTTCTGAGCTGAAATTGTTGACAAAGAATTTAAATTTCTACTGCACTGTCTTTCCATGCCTCTCGTTTCCATGGGTTGTCATGTTGTTTTTGTGCAAATATAAAATCCTGGCCTTGGAGAATCACTTTCTACATAAAGTGTTTTGATCTGCAACCTTGAGACAAATTTCATTATTTATACACAAAATTATTTTAAAAGATTAATTGGGATGTAGGGATGTTAAGGGAGATAATCCTCATTTAGGATTTCAGACATGGGCCTAGGTAAAAGGCCTAGTACCTGTAAGTAAAATGAAGAGCAAAGAAGGTAAAATATTTGTTACTAGACTTTTGTAGATCTGACTTTTTTTCATGGAGGGAATCAGGATCCTTCTAGGATCTCTTGTCAAACTGCATATAGATTATACATGCTTCCATTTCCATGGAGAGTTGTGTTGTCGTTGTGCAAATAGAAAATCTTGGCCTTGGAGAATCACTTTCTACATAAAGTGTTTTGATCTGCAACCTTGATACACTATTAATATGATGCTCTAGTTCTTGTGACGTGTGTAGAATATTTGATGAGTATTGATTTTGGTAATGCCATTTTTCTTGCTCTTTGTACAACAACCTTGCCTTACCTTACAGGTACAGTGACATGTTTGAAATTCCACCATGGCAGTCACCTGTTCAGTACCAGTGAGGATGGTACCATAGCGATATGGAAGTACTTCACCTGGGAGTGCCTTAAAACTCTCCGAGGACACACGTAAGCTCGGTTTGGTATAATAATAATCACAGCTATTTTTAGGACCAAGGTGACCTTAAATGTCATATCGTGGTGTCCGTCTTTTGTCCATCTTCTGTCAACAATTTCTTCAAATGACTCCTTCTCCTCAACCGCTTATTAGAAATAAACTAATCTGAAGTATCCCTAGGTATGGAGATTCAAACCTGTACCAATGGAGGGACTGGATGGGGCCAAAGGGGGTAATTTCGCCATATTGCTTTAGGTGACTTCTCTGAAACTAAGAGACTAAAAAACTAAAAATGGAGAGTCTTGACTCCTAAGGGGGCAGAGGGGCAGGGTTGAAAAGCTAAGTTAAGGGATTGTGTAGCCATATTGCTTGAAGAAAGTTCTTCTCTGGAACAAAGTGATGGTTGAAGCATTCTCAGGTTTTAAGGATTCAAAATTGTACCAGTTTAAGGACTGATATCTGGGTCTTAGGGGCAGGGCAAGAAAGAACTTTTAACCTTGAATTTATGGAGGTACCCACACTACAATCATGATATAAGTATTGACTCATGGGTCTGACCCTAGGAACTTATTCCTGAGCCATAACTTTGAAATGGTTGAGATCCCCACCCTATAATTATTGCCATTACTGGGCTTTAAGACACGAACATAATAATGATATTAGGATTGATCCTGGAGTCTTGCGCTACCCCTAGGCACGTAAATCTTGCGTCATAATTTTGAGATCCCCACTCTATATCCACATATCATTGCTGGGCATCAAGAAACAGACACAATCATGATACTGAAATTGAACCTGGGGTCTGGCCCCATCCTTGAAGACTTATCAATTATATCCTGGGTTTATAACTTTGAAATAGTAGATCCCCAACCCTTAATTACATAGACCCTTGCTTGGCATATATTTGAAATGATTGAGATCCCCACCCCATAAACATACAACACAATCAGGATATTGGTATTGACACTTGGGTCTGGCCCCACCCTTATGGACTTTATTCTTGTGTCATAATTTTGAAATGGTTGAGATCCCCAACCCATAGCCATTTATACAATTGCTTGGCATAAAGATCCAGGTGACTAATACCGGCTCTCTGGGCCTCTTGTACTTGAAATGCATTAATTCTTAGATTAGATTACCAAATACATCATGGCTCAACTGTTAAGTCAAGGATTAGAATCTTGGTCTATAGCTTAGACATTGTATTAGACTAGACCACTCTTTAGAAGATTGACTGATCATGAGTTAGCTAGAAGTTGTTTGACCCCGTTGTACTGTAAAGCTGTTCGTTTGACCACCAATCATGATTCGGTCACTATCTGGACACCCTCCTTCCTCCATTTGGGCAGAAATAAGTTCATACTTGGCTGTTATTATAACTGTAATATGTTCAGATGAAGGGCTACTTACTTATATATTATATAATTAGTTCACACGAATAAGCTTCACCAAAGCATATTCAAGATCACGAGTCATTTATGTTAAAAACTTTAAAATGCAGATCATTTGGGCCTTTTGTATTTAATTTCAAATTGTTATGGGGGCGAAAGATAACTTCTTTCACACTAATGTTATATTCATATTATGAAGCACAAGATTTAATTGTACAGATTGTGTTCTTCAAAAAGTCTAGTAACAAAAACTGTTTCACAAAAAAATATTTCAAAAACACTTAACAGATTTAATATGAATATGATCATATAATAATCATAGTTTTAAAGTAAATTAATTAGCTGCCAGATTTATTTATGACATATTGTTCCCATGAGGTTTCACATTGTCATGCAATTATGAATTCTTGGCCTTGGACAATTAATTTCTGCATAAAGTACTCTGCAACCTTGAAACAAATAATAAACATGTTATTCCAAGTTAAGTAAATCGTCAATTATAATGTTAAGACTACTACCAGCATAAAATCCAAGATAAAGTTGTTCAGAACCCAAATGTTTGTTAGACCAGTGTGTCACCATTTCCTACAGTACTATATGGAGATCCAGGTGTTTTGTACTATTTCTGAGTAAAAGTGTCTGTTTAACCCAACTCACAATGAGTTTAGTGTCTGTTATCCCAACTCACAATGAGGTTAGTGTCTGTTTATCCCAACTCACAATGAGGTTAGTGTCTGTTTATCCCAACTCACAATGAGTTTAGTGTCTGTTTATCCCAACTCATAATGAGGTTAGTGACTGATTATCCCAACTCACAATGAGTTCAGTGTCTGTTTATCCCAACTCATAATGAGTTAAGTGTCAGTTTATCCCAACTCAAAATGAGTTTAGTGTCTGTTATCCCAACTCACAATGAGTTTAGTGTCTGTTTATCCCAACTCACAATGAGTTTAGTGTCTGTTTATCCCAACTCACAATGAATTTAGTGTCTGTTTATCCCAACTCATAATGAGTTTAGTATCTGTTATCCCAACTCACAATGAGTTTAGTGTCTGTTATCCCAACTCACAATGAGTTTAGTGTCTGTTATCCCAAATCACAATGAGGTTAGTGTCTGTTTATCCCAACTCACAATGAGATTAGTGTCTGTTTATCCCAACTCACAATGAGGTCAGTGACTGTTTATCCCAACTCACAATGAGTTTAGTGTCTGTTTATCCCAACTCATAATGGGTTTAGTGTCTGTTCATCCCAACTCACAATGAATTTAGTGTCTGTTTATCCCAACTCATAATGAGTTGAGTGTCTGTTTATCCCAACTCATAATGAGTTTAGTGTCTGTTTATCCCAACTCATAATGAGTTTAGTATCTGTTATCCCAACTCACAATGAGTTTAGTGTCTGTTATCCCAACTCACAATGAGTTTAGTGTCTGTTTATCCCAACTCATAATGAGTTGAGTGTCTGTTTATCCCAACTCATAATGAGTTTAGTATCTGTTATCCCAACTCACAATGAGTTTAGTGTCTGTTTATCCCAACTCACAATGAGTTTAGTGTCTGTTCATCCCAACTCACAATGAGGTTAGTGTCTGTTCATCCCAACTCATAATGAGGTTAATGTCTGTTTATCTTGCAACAAATCTGTATGCAAACTTTAGTTGTAACTTGGTTTTGTGAACAAGCTTAAACTCATTCACCCCTGAAATTTCATAATGAGCTATTCCAACCTTCGAATTGGAAGAGTTCAACACGGTTTTAGGTTCAAGCCTTGAGGATTCTGTTGTTCATGTATACCGGTAAATTGCTACATTCACAAGTTTGGTTTATAATGCTTGTTTTAGGTCTACTGTGAATTGCATCTCCATTCACCCAAGTGGGAAGCTTGCTCTGTCTGTTGGCCGAGACAAAACTCTGCGTACCTGGAACCTGATCACTGGACGTTCTGCCTACACCACCAACATCAAACAAGGTGAATACTTAACCAACTTCCTGGTAACACTTGAGCATGTTGTGATTGACTGTTCGTTGATTGCCATGCATACCTAGGGTATCCACGCTCAAGTGCAGCGCCCCACTTAACAACCAGCAACTGTTGGATTGGCGTTCAACTCTATTATCCTGATTAAATAATTAACCAATTGGTAACATCAGGCCGGATAGACCTTATGATAATCATACATCCTTTGATATTGAGTATATTATATGATTACTTCAATGTATATCACCTTCTCATGACTCGTTTCCATGGGTTGTCATGTTGTTGTTGTGCAAATATAAACTCTTGGCCTAGGAGAATCACTTTCTACATACAGTGTTTTGATCTGCAACCATGAGACAAAGTATTGGTTGATTGAGTGAAATATGAAATTGATCACATTTAGTTCTTTTGTTATCCACGAAATAAACGAAATTTAATGTCCCAAGAAAATTTAAGATTTTACAGTAGTTATGCATAATCTGATTTAAAGCTTTTCGTGACAAAATAAAATTATTTAAATATAGATCTTAAAGAGTAAGAAATGTTCAAGACTCAAATGTCTTACTTTGAAAATTTGAGTTAATATCTTGCTATGCAAAATAAGATATGACTACAAGCCACAATAATTTATTACAGAGGCTTCTCTGGTTGTCTGGTCCCTCAATGGTAACCACTACGCCGTTGTCTTCTCCACAAAAATAGACATATATAATACACAGGTAGGTCTACATTTCTGTGACTTAGAAGCTTTTTACAGTAACCCTGCCAGTATTTGTTTATACTGGTCATCTTGAAGCTAGAGCTCTGAAAATTATTTGTCTTTAAAATTTACTACCTATAACTATAAATGAAATGTTACACAGCATTCCATATTCAACATTACCTATCGGTGACAGTGTGTTGAAAAACATGTTTGAAATTCTTCTTGTGATATAGCCATATATACATTTAATTCACTTCGTGAATTTTGATTAACAGAAAAAAAGGATGGATTGGTGGTCATTTTTGGTTTACAAGTTATGTGCTGTGTCTAGTTGTGTGTGACATGATGTATACTTTGTTTTAACATGTACATCTTTTGATGTTTTGTCGACTTTCAGACTGCTGAAGTCATCAGCTCAGTGAAAACTACACAAAGGGTCAATGATTTGGCATTTATTTCTGTAAGTATAATACATACATCAAAGAAGTTCTCTTGGGAACATCAGGGTCCTTCACACTCATAATTATGAGTATTTGAAACTGCCAAATAGTTTGCTTGAACTGAAGTTAATTGAAGTTTCTGATGTTGGAGAAATGCTTTGAATCTGTAGTACTTTATTTGTCCTTTTTGTATTTCCCAGACGACCGTGATTGTGTATGGAGGAGAAGGTGGGCAGCTGTATTTCTACAACATCATCAATAAAATGACTTTACACAGCTTAGATACACAAACAAACAGGTAAACCTGTGATACACTGCAACCTCCTTGTTATTTATTATTAGCTCACCTGGTCCTTTGACCAAGGTGAGCTTATGCCATACTGTAGCGTCCGTCGTCCGTCCGTCCGTCAACAATTTCTTTAAACGACTTCTTCTTCTTAACCACTGATTGGAATTTTACTAAATTTGACTGGAAGCATCCTTAGGTGGTGGGGAATCAAAATTGTACAAATGGTGGGGCTGACCCCCCAGGGGGCTAAGGGGCGGGGCAAAAAGGGGGCAATTTGGCTATATTGCTTTAAGTGACTTCTTCTCTGGAACTAAGAGATGGATATCAACCATATTTGCCTGGAAGCATCCCTAGGTGGTGGAAATTCAAAATTGTACAAATGGTTGGGCTGACCCCCCAGGGGGCTGAGGGGCGGGACCAAAAAGGGGGCAATTTGGCTAGATTACTATAAACGACTTCTTCTGTAGAACTATGCACTGGATATCAATCATATTTAATCAAAAGCATTCATGGAATGCAGGGATTCAAAATTGTACAAATGGTGTGGCTGACCCCCCAGGGGGCTGAGGGGTGGGGCCAAAAAGGGTTATTTGGCTATATTGCTTTAAAGCGACTTCTTCTCTGGAACTAAGTGATGGATATCGACCATAATAGACTGGAAGCATTCCTAGGTTGTGGGGATTCAAAATTGTACAAATGGTGTGGCTGACCCCCCAGGGGGCTGAGGGGCGGGGCCAAAAAGGGTTATTTGGCTATATTGCTTTAAAGCGACTTCTTCTCTGGAACTAAGTGATG